TGGAATAGCGGCAAACAAGTGTTTTATGGGGCCTTTAGGCATCTTGTAGAATGCAGAGAAGATTGAACCCTACCTGTTGAATAAAGATTTTTTTTTTGGCCCTTCATGTAGTCATTTCTTCCATAAATAATGATTGAGCGTATTTGATGCCGAGCATACTCAAGGCCGGGGATGCCGTGGTGGAACCAGGGGCCTGTGCTGAATGTTCAGGGCTTACTGTCAAGTGAGGAAGCTAATTCTTCTGCATCCGTAGATAGAGCTGACTGAATGCCAGTCACTACTATTTACCTCCCTTAAGTAAAAAAAAATTTTTGATTGGTAAACATAGACAATATTTACCATTTTAACCATTTTGAGGTTTACCCCTCAGTAGCCTTAATTACACACACCACGTTGTCCAAATATCACCACAATTTCCCAAAGTTATTCATCACCCAGCTCCCCCTCCCCACAAATAAACTCTTGTCTCTCTACATTTGCCCCTGCTAAATATTTCCTAAGTTGGGGCATGTGATGTCTGTTCTTTCGTGTCTGCTTGACTACACTGAGCCAAGGACTTGCAAGGTTTGCCCATGTTGTAGCCTCTCGGAGCTTCACGGATGGATACGGTTTCGTTGTATCCACAGACCCCCATGTTGTCCATCCAGCCGCCCATCTGTTGGCAAGCACTTGAGTCCTATCCACCTTTTGGCTGTTCTGTGTGTCATGCTACAAGGAACGCCTATAAACCAAATCGTTAGGGGCCTCGTTTCTCTGTCTCTCTCACTCACACACACACAGATCTGTTTCTGTATTCCTAACCGTCTGTCCGAGGAAAAGTGAATAAGGTGTATTTTATTGATCTTGCCAAATTGCTGCCTGTTAACTTGGACTTCAGAGGTATTCCACAGCTGTTAAACAAGTGTTTGTGAGCGGTTGCAGCTTACTAGTTAGATGGAATGTTGCATGTCAGAGACAATTTGGAAGATTGGTGGCTTTAGGGAGATGGCTTTAAGGGGGATTATCATAATTCTGCCACATCTGACAACTTTGACGAGGTGCATCGATAGCAGGGCGTAACGTCTTCTGTGATTTATTTTAAAGCACACTCTTCTGTATGGGGAATCCGTGAAGACTGTATCTATAAGGATCAAAACATCCTGGTTTGAGTTACTGTTTGGTGTTTTATAGACCCGTGAGACCAAAATAGTCAGAAGAATAATTGGTGGATTTAAAAAAAAAAAGTTTATTATCTTGCAGAACTGATAAAATCTTCACTTTCAATCGTTTCCTTCTAGGTTCCTAGTTAAATTTGTAATATCTAATAAACCTTATATCAAATTAGTCTCTGCTTAGCGTTGTGACCATTTAGAGATTCTTAACTGGAACTTCCACCGATGCCTGGTTCCATGTGTGTGTGTGGTGCTATGAGTTATGGATAGAGATGAGAGGCGTACCCTGAAAAAAATAATATGTCATGAGAAATTTACGTGGGTGAGAAGATACCTGAAGGGAAAGCTGTTCAACAAATGATGAAAGTGGGGATGCCTCCCAGATGCCCGTATGGTCTGGATCCAGGTGAATCCAGGAGAAAAGTGACGGGAGAGCCTTCCATGGAGGGGTAGGGGTCAGGGTGAGCACAGAGGGGACTGTACTCAGGCCAGGTGACAGTTTAATCAGGGAGTAGTGGGCAGTTTAGGAGCTGTGGTGGCATAGTAGTTATGAGTTGGGCTGTAATCAGCAAGGTCAGCAGTTCAAAACCACCAACTGCTCTGTGGGA